ATCCTGAGCACACACAAACACTCACAGCCGGAGTAAAAACAATAAGTGTGGCTTGATATTGAGTAAGAAAAAGGTTTAAACGCTGTGAGAATGGGTCTGCGGAGAGCATTTCTCCGCGATCCCAACTCGTCTATTACCAACCAGGGAGCTCTATGCAAGTCAATGAGACTCCCTGTTAGTTGAAAATGTACGCTAAAGGTCCCCCCACTGCGTTTGATAGTGACGCCAAGGGATCCAGGTGTGTGAGGATCTCCGCGGATTGGTCCATTTTGGTTCCGGGAACCGCATGACGTCATGCGGTTCCCGGAAGAAACAAATGGAAAAAGAGAAATCTCCAACGAGGCGCTCTGGGGCAGCATAGACAGGTCTTCTCTGTGTTAGAGTTTTACTCGCTACAGGGTGTACTTTGAGGGTTTGTGACTCTGCAGACCGTTTACATGCAGAAAAACCTTCATAACACACAAGGGGACGGGTACTCACCGGAAAAGCATGACATGGGACCTTTAATAAATGTCTCAGACTAAAGCAATGCACTTGTAACTTTTTTCCCCAATTTTGAAATTCTACTATTCGACTACTAATTTGACTTTGCCTGCAAACAGTTCTTATTTTTTAAGTTGTTATTCTTAGTGTAATCAAGCTAATCCAGTTGTATAGAAGTATATGAAAACAATTCCCCTAGTTCTCACTTATTTTATTACCTTAGTAACATTTTCCTGACAAGTTTTGAGTTCCAATTACCAGATTCAAAGCTTCTTTAATACAGCATCACATTTATTTAGTAAATAATAAAAGTAAAATGCACAGCAAAGAAGGATATGCTTTAAGGCCTGGCAACCCTGCAAGGTCGCAACCATAGGGTTATCCATATTTTTGTTAAACTTTAACCCTTTAAAAAGTGCGTTTCTAGTAATGGAGGTTAATTTAAACAATTTGGTCGCCTAAACATATCTTGCTCAGCATTAGGTTCTCCTTGACTAATATTAGTCTTTTTTCCTTAAGACACAAGACACTTTTTGACATTGTTATTTTAAGATGCTTGTATATACGTGTGGTCCACAATGAAGGATGTACACAGGTCTATCAGGAAGCAGGGCTAACAGCTCTAATACTGCAGCCTAATGCTCAATACCCAGCAGAGACTACAGTGTCAAGAGCATCATGTGTTTCATTTGTTTAGTTGATTAATGAGCACTCCCCTACAGTGTGGGCTGCATAGAAAATTGAGTGTCTCAGTTCTATCTATGCATTACAATCACCTCCCTCCTTCCTCAACACCCTTCCTCTAGCTTATAAATCATGTCCTCTGCCCAATGTTATGGATGGTGTGTATGCAATTAACAAATACTGCATAGAAGCAGGACAGTATAAAGTATGTCCAAAAGTGTGGAAACACATGCACACATACACACTTTTTCTCTTTCTCTGAAGGACATATGTTTGACTTCATCAGCCCTGCAGCGCAAATGCTCGGCTGAGATTGCAATTTGCTCGTTCCACCACAAATATTAACATTTCCAATCTGTTGTGTTGCGCTACGGCAAATAGAACCGACACGACTCAGAGAGTGTTAATAAATCATGATTATGAAGCACCATTGGCTGGAGCTTCCCTCGGCATCCAGTGAATAAACTCCATCCCAATTCTGTCTGTGGGCACACCCTGCATGATGATACAAGCCGTTAGGTAATTATCCAGCAATTAGGATTCTGATAGGAGGAACAGCAGGTTGGTCCGCCCTCCTGGTGACAAATGATGAACAGGGTGTCTCTAATCGACTTACTTTGATAGTTCCCCTTGACCTGAACTTATGGATTTACGGAGAGCGTCTGATGTTTGTTTGCCTCTTTTTAAAAATATGTTTTATTAAAGACAAGCCAGCCAGCTGTCAGAAGATGACATGCCATCCTCTTCCATTGAAAAGAGACAGGCTAATTTTAAATAGCCTCCTTTTATGATAGTCACCTAAAGCTAATCAACCCTAGAGCTTCCTGCCAGAGGACACAACACAGCGGTTTTGATTTATTTTGACACATCGCGTTCCATATTTAACATCTGAAATATTTGTAAAGCCTCCTGGAAAACACGTGTTTGTGTGAGTGTTTATGAAACATCTTCACAGTCCGTGGGGACCTGTGATGTGTGAACTCTAGCTACATGCCACTAAGCTCACCCTGCTGAGTGTAAACTCACCTACTTTGATGATGAACAGTTAAACAGGATCATTCATAAATTATGGTGTCCTGAAAATACAAGCACGTTTGTGTTCAGAACGCCTTGGAGACTTCCTTCTGTCTTCTGACACTTTCAATCTTTTTAAAGAACAGGAAAACATTTGTTTTAGTTTGAGTCACGCTACTTTTCCTCTCGCACCTGCTTTTGGATTCTGGTGCAAGTCATTGTTGGCACTGAAACCTGTTCTACATTAAAGCCTTGACAAATTACACAGCCTATGAAAGAACAGCATGTTGGATACTACATAAATACAAAGGGATTATAACCATGAAAGATACTTGAAACTGGAGAGGAGTCTGCACAGAAGGGAGTCAAGGACGCTAAAAACAAAGTCAAGGTGACTGGGGAGAGCAGGTGCAATCCAAGCTAAAAGAAGGAAGGAAGCCAGCAAGAGGCTGACTAGGGATAACAAGAAGAGGAAGAGAGAGCAAGTGTGTGTGTGTGTGTGTGTGTGTGTGTGTGTGTGTGTGTGTGTGTGTGTGTGTGTGAGAAAGAGAGACATCCAGATTGAGAAGAGACATAAGAGACACAGGAAACCTGCAAGCAAATT